GTACGGGCTGTGGTTGAGGCACGAGTCTGGCGAGAGCTCGTAACTAATCAAGATACACCAGCTCATTGATTTGCTGCAGGCGACCGAGGAGCCACATTTTGGAAGCGAAACTCATCAGGCACACACGCACTGACAACTCGTTAACTGAATGTTAGCTCGTCAAGCAAAGCAAATTTAGTGCGAGTTATTTGCACTCTATCTGAATTGCTCGTAGATGGAACTGTTCGTCATCCAAGTTTCCGCTATAATTATCTTTTACTAAGTGTATCGTCGACCTTGACCTTGACCTTAGGAGCTATTTGATTTCGAAGGAAAATTTTGGTCCTCGTTGGCGAGATCGGTTAGTGCTTAATAAATTGATCCGCCATTGTATACCTTATTATTTCAATATAATTTATTTTTCGTATTGTGCAGTTTAAAATGAGGCATGTATTTTGAATACGAGAACTATCCGAAGGAGCATTGTGCAGAAAATTAAGAAAAACTTCAGAAATGGAAGAATAATGGTTTTTTTAGAGTCTTTAGCGTGTAGCTTCGTCCAACACATAATTATAGGCCCACCCCCCGAACGTTTTAAGTATTGGTCTAGAATGGCCGGTTCATCATCTGTACAAAATATATGTTGTAGGGATCTACTGCGGCAACAATGCTCCTATGTGAGACGGAGACCTAGGTAGTTCAGCAGGCCAGACCCCTCTGACCTCAGTTCCTACCGAAGTATGTCGATACTGGAGTGAGAGAATTGCTTGCGGAAGAATCGCGCCCAGCATTATATTATGTCGAAGTAGTCTGCAGTGTAGTAGCCATCTTGTGAAAATGAAAGATTACTGTCTGTGCAGAGAGTTACTGTACACTGCAGTTTCTGCGAATAAATAACGATAAAAGGATACATGAATACCCCTCTCAAGCATCCGACTGTTATTCAGTACAAAGTACAAGACTTCGTGCAGCACCGATAGTTCTAGAGTTTTGCAGTTAAATGTAAAACAGCGATTGTCGTGCTAACTGAATATTGGAAGCCAAACCGTTGTCTGCAGCACTTATTTCCTATAAAACGATCAACACAATAACCGGATGTTGGGGACTTACTTCTTCGCCTCAGTCCGCACGCCTCCGCCACCCGAGACGCTCCCTCACAGCGTGTCACTACTAACTCCTTTCCGGTCTGATTCGCCCTCATCAGAACTTTTGTTAGTACCGCCAGGGGATCGCCGCTAGGATATAGCGTACACTCGTTACTAGTAATTTAACTCTAGTGTTCCTGAGCCCATTTCATCCACACACTCAAACCATGCACTGGCCTTGTCTGACGTAATTGCATCGCACGGCAACTAGAAAATAGTGTCTTCGTGTATCCCTGCCTGCCCGTGACACCACTGAATCTATGTCGCGTCAAGATGCAGTTCCAAGGCGCGTCACACAGCAGTCATCCAGCAGTCTTGGGACCAATTTTTGAACTCCAAACAACGCACTTGTGCAGGTGAATCCTTGAATTTTGTAAAAATTTGTTTCGGTAAAATTCAATTTTGTGGAGTGGTAACCCACATTATGTACATGCCCATGCCATCACGCACAGTGGCATCAACTTTGCACCGAAAAGATTGGACGAAGCACTGCTGCAAGTAAAAACGGAAGACGTATATCATCTGCCAACCGCGTACTATGCGTATTATTTCATCAAAATAAGCCAGCGAAGTCGTCTGGAATCCATCATGACGGTATAACACCTAACAGGACCAGGTCCTCCTTCGGAAGGATTACCAAGCTCCAGTGACTCCTTTATGTGGTCTTCATGACATACATCTCTGGACACTTGGTACATGTAAAATTAGGAACCAATTCGTGTCCATTCTGCGTGGACCAACTGTTTTACTTCGTTGTCCACTCCATTACTTTCAGGACACAATGGGTCTCATAGGCTATGTACGCGCTCAGCAGTGAATCTCGTCTTCAATGTTTGAACCTTCGACTGCTTCACTACTCAATTTTGACCTATATCTAGCAGCACGAGCAACCATGTCTCCCCTTTTTGATCCGTAACGGAACTCAGGCAAAAGGGGATATGTAGCTGCACTTGTTAGTTGGCTGGACGACAAATATTTCAGCCACAGTCAATTTGGATGACGAATCAGAATTCGGCATGGAAACTACCAGAGGACGAATCTGACGCGTTCGCCGTCTCTTTCTGTTAGATGTAGATTCTTTGAGCAGCATGTTAACCATACATTCAAGTGAATAAAAAAACGTGGCTCACTTTGAAACAACACTCATGGAGACCAATCAAGAACAGGAATCTACCGTCGATAAATTCCGTTTTTTATACGAAACGGATGCTTAGATGTTTCAAGAAGAAGATGTCTTTTTCTGACGAAGGAGGGAGTTATGGGCACTATTTTGACCAAGGAAGTTTACCGCACGCAAACAATAAACTGCAATGCCTTACAACCATGCCACTTTTGATCAAAAATGGTGAGCAGTCTAAATTTGGTTGTTTGTTGTATGAGACATACCACTTTATTTGGGAAGCTAAAATGTGTGACAGTATATCTTCATTATCACATTGACACTAATGCGGTCGAAAACTTACTTAAGCATAACATCACGTTTCTCAAGTTGCAGGGCGTGAGTCGTTAGCACCTGTTAGTTGTTCTATTCGAGGGAGGTTTGAAATGAGAAAGATGAGTTAGGGCAGTTTTGGTATTTCTTTAATGTAAGTCAATTCCCGAGTATATATGCTGCATTTTACTTCCTCCATGCTTTCCAAGGTATCACGTCTTTATTTTCGAAACTCGCACGCAACTCGCAGTCGCTCGTGTTCTGCACCATGACATCAAACCTGAAAATGGATGGGCAGCAGTCTTTTGACAATTGGGTTGCCGGAATTGACCTACGCAGATCTGAAGATGCTGCCAAATCGGTTGCAGACTTTGGCTTTGCCACGTGTCGTGTTCGATTGCTGTCTGGCAATAACAAGTTTGTTACATTTCCCGACTCGGCCTCTGGCGCCAAGCAGTTAGATGCAAGTGAAGCAGCCAGTCTGAAATCCGGAGCTGATTCCTCATCGGTACTGTACTGGATGAATCGAGACCAGCGCGTCCAAGGTAAAATTTTCCTTCATTTGTTTTTACTACCATCTTTCGAATGCCTGATTATGAAGACACAGATCCATTATTCTAAGTAGCATCGCGAGTAAAATAGCACAGGAAATAATTGCCAGGTTCCGGTACCTCTAACGTTTTTTGCCATGGTACATTTAAAACGTGCTTACTGTAAACTCCTATAAGTCTCTTTAATTCCACCCAACTATCCAGTTTTCTTTGCATGGAGAAGAGATACTCTTTAAATATTAACAAAATTGTCAATGATCCATGCACTCTGCTAATCGTTCAGCTTTGAGCTGTCCGATTTTATTAGTTGCATCGACTCTTAGCAGAAACACTCTCGGGGATATATTCTGATGACAATCGTTGCTATTTAGAGTGAGATTGGTATATTTTCCCATTAAAATAATTTATTCCACGCCGCACTCACTAGGACAATTCAATCTTCAACAAAAGCAGGGTACTTCAGGCTTCCCAATAAACTTGGTTGCAAACGTTTCATATACCCATGCTTTTGCCTGAAATTTAAAGTTCATTTGGCATTGACGTGCTATGCATGGCTCTTTAGGCCGAACATTAATTAGCTCGTACCATCGAAGCAGTGCCCGCGGGGGTCCGGCTTGTATGATCTCTTTTAGTTTGCCAGAGCTCTTTTTTCTATTATAACTGTCGCCATCTTACCAGTTTTTGGCGCATTGTTTCCTTTGCTCATCCTTTCTCATGGTATCTAGAGCAGATATATTGTAGGGCATCTACTGTTATGAGCCTCCGTTATGCTATCTAGTCAGCCCAAGTGTAAGCGGTATGTGCCTATACTTTCTATTAAGAAACAATGATTGTGAGCCTGGTTGGGCTATTATGTTGGTGCATTACGCTGTCTAACTTCGCACATTTTGTGATTTAACACTGGCGAATAGTTTGATGCTTACCCTTGTCACAGAATCGGGACACATCAATCGTATTATTGACTAGACTTTTTGTGTGTGGATCTTCAGGCGACAACCGAAACTGTTCACGCGTGGTATCTAATTCTCGTAGCTTGTTGAAACCCCTTTTCTTAATTTTCCAAACATGCATTACAATATTCCATTTTATAACCGAAGTATGCCCGTTTTGGAAGTACTGCCTCCTTCGGTTCATCCGTCAGTGTCTAAAACAGCGATTTTGGAGGGAGCAACCGATATTTGCTGGTTCCATCTAACGTTAGTCAGTAAATTTCACATTTAAAC